TCTCGTCCTAGTATGGGGCTCTTCAGCAATGCGCATCCATGAACTCACACCACCAGGGACCGAACCCAGGATCATCAGGTTCCGTCGCCAGCATGTTACCACTAACCCCCTGGGTTGTAATCAAATAGTTTGTTTCCTACGTCTGTCAGTTCACGAAATAGCGCGACCAAAACCCAATGTCGTCGTTGAGTGACTGTCCTCATGTTCGACTTAGTTGACTCCACTAGTCACGACTTCTTACTGGAACTTCAGGAACTTCACAACTTCTCAAAGTTAGTCACCAATGAGTGCTAGATCAATTCTGTCTGGAGGTTTATGGTTCAATGGTAACCTGCTGGTCACAGAACCGGAAGGTCCTGGCTTCGATCCCTGGTGGTGTGTGGTCGTGGATGCGCACTGCGGAGGAGTTCCGTACTAGGACGAAACATCTAGGTAGTGCTCCCAGGTTTCCAATGTCCCTCCAACTGATGTCAGTCCGTGATGAATTCCAACCTAAAATTTATTGATAAACCTCTATTAACCTCCAGGTAGAAGTAAATAGTTTTTATTGATAGGTTTTATGCTCTCTCTCTCTCTCTCTCTCTCTCTGTCCCTGTCTCTAGAATAAAATAGAATCACCAGCTTAATCTGTCAACGAAGGCCACTTGTGGCATTCTTTTCATAAAAGGCCACTTTCAAGGAGACTTATGAGCAAACAAATACTTTGAAGAATTAGCACCTCTTAGATGCTTACAAGACCCAGTACTTGTTAAATAAATTGGCTTACACTTTGCAACCACACACCGACTTGTCTTCACTTTCGTCATGCAAACATTCAGTAACTAGTTTCTTTATTTCCTCTTGTACATTACACAGACAATACTATCAACATTTTCAGCTCAGTTGAAATACAAATCAATTTCTTCACAAGACTGCCACAAAGCCGAGATAACCAACTGTTAAAATGTTGCTTTCAACATCGACTTCCACTCATGTATTCTCCGATTTAAACAAATGAAGCTCTGTCCCATCTCACTACTTTCATCATCACTAGCCACAAGAAACTATAGTCCTCAATACTGTTTTACACTATACCTAAAAAAATGTGGTCGCATAATGATTTTATCCGGTATTAGATAACAAAATCTCTGACCTGATGATAAGCGTAGGTAAAGCGTGTTACCACACTTACTAAACAAACACTAAAGTGAAGAATTTTAGTTAGAAAGACTACAGTTACGTGGAGAAATACTTTAAATGTTTTTCAGGAGTCTTTCTACAATTTTGTTTATAATAAAGCAATAAGTTGACCTTTAGAGTTGACGAGAATCGTACACTGTTATACTACAATAATTCTGATAAAGTTTGCTTTGAATGTGTTTTATGGTGTAGACTTTGGTTTATAATCATAGCATGAAGTGATCCAAACTTAAAGTGCATAATGTTTAGGCCAGAAATGACGTCAACTGACCAATTTCGTTGCCAACTTTTACTTCACTTCAAGGTATTGTGTGCTCAAATATTTGCTCGTATAGTATATTCATTGCAGTTTTATGCCCAAACCACAATTTGTGTGATCACTTCAGTCATTAATGGAGCTAATCCCCACCCTCGTCGAAAATAATCGATGTAAGGGCTTATATACACATATGAGTTGAAGGTAGTGCATTAGAAACATTGTTATTCGTTTAAAGAATAGGCTTCTCCTATCATTTGAAGTTGTCGAAAACCTTTATTATCAGCAACTAATATCTTCATTCATGTTTGTCTTACTTTTAGTGTTGCAGAATGAAACGTTTGACGTATTTGATGCATTGAGATATAGCTTGTCATGAAACGACGTTCAAAACTCCCACTAAAATATTTCATCTAGTGAGTGACTTCAAATGCTTTCCTGGTTAGGACATTTCAGGGATTCCAAGGTGCAAACTGTGAATATAACAAGGCGTATAAATCATTGTGTTGGAATTCCACTTTTGCTCTGACTTCTGTTGTTGATCCCTCATATCTCAAATAAATGCATTGGTTATTCTAGTAAATTTTCCATCGTGTGGTAGATGTGTTCACCTTCATTCACTGCAGACCATCCACAACTGACCAAATTACCGTACTACCGTCTGTCTGTTCGTGTTGTTAGTAATCTTAAGACTAGTAAATGCCATTCACTTACCATAATGCAACACTGAATGTGTTACGAGATTAGTTGGTTCAGAACTACCCAGTAGCAATTCCCTCTTCTCACAGATGAAACAGGAATGATTCCAGACACAGGTGGAAGTTGTGAAGAGTACTCTCATTTCAACAGGCTACATACATATATGAACAAAGTATTAACTGTGAAATTTGTAAGAGATGGACTAGAGGAATGGCAGCAACTGAATGTGGGTGCGATACTTGATACTGGGAAACACAGACAGTGAGCAATCTCTCTCTCAAAATCATCCATTTTTAATCAAGGGATTGTATTCTTTGCTACTTAACGCTTGTTCTATGCACTTCTCTTTTCAATGTAGCAGTGTTCTTGCGATGAGTCAGTTTTTTGTAGCAGTTTGACGAGTTCTCATACTTTTCCTACTGACAAAACTACATTTTTATGATCAACGCTCAATTGATAGGCATGCTCGTCATTTCAGTCTCAAGTTTGTAATTCCAATCTCAGATTTTCATCTGCCTACACATTCAACAATACAATTATGAGACTCGTTATCAGAATCTGGTGATCTCCGTACACATGACTACACAACACCGATCACCATCATCTGACACCTTGAGAACACAAACACCTAGCCAATAGAAACAAACCATCATGCATACACCAAAGAGATCATATTACAAATAGACAAGCAAGAAAATGAAGTGACACACTATATAGATTTCACCGTGTACATCATTCTATGTGTTAGTCATTTTGAATATGTGTGCTGGGTGATTCATTACAAACCTTCACTGTCAATGTGTGCATAAGTTATTTCAATTAAATTGTGAATCATTGAAAGTATTTGTCTGTATTTTCAGGTCATGTTTGAATGTTTGACTGAGAAATATGTTAAAGCAGGTGAAATGAAGTATTCATGATTCATTCAGAAGTATGTGTTCTGTAGATTGTGAATGAACTGAAAATATACTCACTACCTTTGTGGTTACAAAAACTCACTGGTGTTTACTTTATCTAACTGTGGAAGACGACCATAGTTAAAATTACTGTACTCTAAATCACTGATAATTAGCTGTGTGCAGTGTGTGATGAAATATTTTACTGTTATTCCTCAGCATCAGTGTAGGAATCGCTGAGCTTACTTCGCGTCAATACTGTGATAGGATAAGCCAAACAATAGGTTAGCAAATAAGTGACCATTTCATCATTGATGAAGCTGTATTGTTTATGGTGAAGAGTGAGCACGATGAGCGGTTTCAACTTGTTATAGTGAACTAGGTGACACGACACTGCAGTGCACTGGTTACAACTGTTTATTATGTGAAAATTAGTTAACTGATTGACTTCAGTGAATTTGAATTCTTGAAACCTCACCACACACATATGCCAAATACTCATCCACGAAATCCAGCCTTGCATCTCTTCAATAGTGACTTGAATAGGCTTACGACATTCTCGGATGACACATTGAATGGTACATTTTCAAACACCCACAGGAGCTAGAATATTCTCGACAGTTATTTGACTGTTTGTCTGGGGCAACTCACGAGTTCGCTGCAAACGCCACTGAATAACCATAATTTATTCTACGACATTCTATGAGATACTCACTGATTCTGTCTACACATAGTTGAAAGGTCTTCAAGTAGTCAGCATTATCTTGTTTCGATTTAAAAGCTTATAACATTTTCCAGTGGAATTTACTATCAGCTCGACATCGAGACAAACAGATCAATCTACGCACAACCCCTCACATAAACGCATTGGTTTGAGTTGCACACCTTACAACCGTATTCAAAAAAGTGGATGATAAATATTTGACGTTAGATTCGACAAATGTGAATGAGTAGAGGGGGAGTGAGAAGAGTGTATCTAATGGAAGTATTCAACACTTAGAAGATGAAAATCAGATTACACATCTGGGCCATCATCACAAAAATTCTTGAACCACTGGTTTTTATTGCGTTGAGAATAGCATCCAGTCAGCCTATATTTCCTGTCAAAGCTCATATCGACAATGAAATATGTCATAAGATGGATGCACATTTTGGCTATGTCAAACTTAGCCGAAAAATGAATGTTTCACAATTATAACGACTTGCATCTTCATAATTTTTATCACTCCTATCTGATAAAAAGATGGCCTGACTAGTCACGAAATTAATTTAAGATTGCAAATAGTCAGTGATAATTACGAAATTCAACTAAACCAGTATTTTAAATGTTACGCGAGTTGAAATAGTATTCAAAATTCTTTAATTTTATCAAACGTTTTTATTTTACTTAGAGGTTTGTGGAGGTTTATTAACTGATCTTAGGTTGGAATTCATTATGGACTGAAATCAGTTGGAGGAACATTGGAAATCTAGGAGCACTTCCAAGATGTTTTGTCTTAGCAAGGGATTCCTCAACAGTATACATCCATGACCGCACACCACCAGGGATTGAGGCCAGGATCTTTAGGTTCAGTGACCAGTACGTTACCATTGAGCCACTGGATAGGAATCAAGTGGTCCATATTTCCTACTTCTGTTGGTTCACAGTATAGTACGACTTATATGATCTCTAGAAGGGTCATGGATGTACACAGCTGAAGAGTTCCACACTAGGACAAAACAGCTGTCCAGTACTCCCAGGTTTCTGCATTCTTGTTTATGATGCAGATCAATACGGTTATCTGAATGGGTTTCGAATATCTTCAAATGTTACGTAATCAGTTACTATGCTTATACTGCATCATTCAGCCTTCTTAGGCTTCAAAATGTAATAGATTTTTGTTATTTGTTAACATTTGTTGGTACCAGAATTCAATCTTATCGAAAAACTTTTACTTTGTCCTTTCATATTCAAAATGTGAGAAATGTAGTATATTTAATAGAATTTTATTTACTCATACAATTAACTTATATAACGTTATTGTATACTGTTCTTGACATTAAGGTTTATAAGAACCGTAAATGATAACTGAGCAAATTTTCAAACATTGAATCCCTCTGAAGAAAAACTGAAGTAAATATTAATTCCTGTGAATCAAACAAATAAAAAACAAATCAAACAAATAAATTTATACCTTCAGAATAACATGTCCGAAGATATACAGGCAAAAACTAACAAGTTGACAGAAGAGGTGGGGCAGCAAAGATGAGACTTCAAGTGAACGAGGAGAAGACAGAGGTTATGAAGATACCCAACCAACGCCACCACCACCAACAACAACAAGCTGCAATCACCATCAACGGGGAAACTTGAAGGAAGTAGACTATTTCACCTATCTAGACAGCATCGTTTCAATTACAGGTGGCACAGGCACAGACGAGGACGTCAAAGCCAGCCAGGATCGGAAAGACAGCAAGACAGGTGTTCATTAACCTGAAACCAATGTGAAGATCTTCATCACTCAGCATAAAGCGTGAACAACATCCGGATTCTCAACACTAATGTCAGTCAAGTCAGTGCTTCTGTGCGGTTCAGAGACTTGGCGCTTTACGAAGGGCATTTTCAGCAAACTGCAAGTACTCATCAACAACTGCCACCTACGCTCGTTACTGAAGCTCAGATGGCCTGAATTATGAGAATAAGCAACAACGAACTAACTCTGGGAAAGGACCGACGAAGAACCTATCGCTCAACAAATATGCAGTGGAAGGAAGTGGAGATGGACGGGATGGGGCATGCATTGAGAAGACCATTTGGGGACATCACGCACTAAGCCAGTTACTCGAGTGGAACCAAGATGGGAAATGACGAGTTGGGCGTCCGTGGCTAGGGTGACATGGAGGAGATCTTGTGAGGAAGAAATGAGAACTTGTAGGCAGTCGTGGAGCCATGTTGAAAGGATTTCAGAGAAGAGAGTGGAATGAAGACGTGTTATTGATGCCCTATGTTCCATTAGGAACCCAAGGGACAAATAATCATGATAATAATAATAATATGATTTGGCATGGATTATTAACAATTAACCTACTCTGTTATATTTTACTGTGAAATGCTAGAAAATCTACTGAAATTGGCACTGTTTACTGACTTTCACGAATTTATGAACTACCGAAAATCTGGAAACACTGAACAGCTGTTCCTTCTTAGTATATGACTCTTTAACAGTGCACACTAATAAATCCAGTGGGGATCAAATCTAGGACCTTTAGGATTCTCACTGAGCATGTTATCCTTGAATCCCTAGGTCAGAATCCAATCATCCACACTTTACCACTTCTAACAATTCGTTATGTAGCAAGACCTTCATTCATTACCACCGTTGATTATTTATCCTAATATTCGACTTCCTTGCGATTAGAACTTTGAGGAATCTCAAGTTGAAACATATCACCATAACTATTAGTAAGTACTTCAATTTAGAGATTTGTGAAAATGAATGTCTCAGTTGGCAAAAAAATCACTGAATTATTTTACTTAGATGCTTTAATGCATTCGGAAGAGTGATAATACTTAAAGTGGAGCAGACTATAATTTCTTATAAGACACAGTGATTCTCAAGTCTTCACCAAATTACATCTATGATTGCAAAAGATTAAATGTTTATATTTAGAAACAAATAGGTCGGACTATTGAAATGTGATGTGAATTGGCAAAATTATAAACAAGTATTTCTCACAACTAACCTCGCCTGGTTAACTAGTTTACTAGTTACTAGCCGGTCCTAAGCCCAGGTAAAGAGGGAAGGTTAGGCATACGGCTACCAACACATCCCCGTAAAACAAATCTAACCGCTAAAGAAACTTCAAAGCACAAACAAAATATAAAAAATGAAAACAAACCTATTCCCCGCTGGAATCAGAGAGGCGAAATGACGCCAGTTGGTGGAAGCCTTCGGGAAGCCAATTGGCCGATGTATCTTCTCTCCCTCGATGAAAGCGAAAGTAAACGTGGGGACATGGAATGTCCGTACAATGTTTCAACCCAGTAAGGCAGCCCAGATTGCAAAGGAGATGAGAAGGTATCACATCGAAGTGCTTGGGATTTGCGAAAGCAGATGGAATGGAAGTGGACTGTCCAAACTGTCAACTGGAGAATCAATAATCTACTCCGGTCACCCAGACGCCAACCACGAGCACACTGAGTTATGGAGTGGCTATCATGATGTCCTCAAGAGCATCGAAGGCTCTCATGCAATGGGAACCAACCTACTCAACGATCAGGATCATCACAACAAGGTTCAACTCAAAAGGAAGGAAGGTCACAATCATACAAAGTTACGCTATGCACCTACAAATAATGCAGAGCAAGAGAAAAAGGAGGATTTCTACAGACAACTTCAATCAACACTGGACAAGACGTCAGTTGGCGATATCAAAATTCTAATGGGCGACATGAATGCCAAACTGGGAGGGGCGCTAGGTGAAATGAATGAGAATGGAGAATTGTTTGCAGAATTCTGTGCATTCAACGATTTGGTGATTGGAGGCAGTGTGTTCAGGCACAAGGATATCCACAAAGCGACATGGATTTGATTTCACCAGATGGACACACTAAAAATCAAATCGACTTTATCTCAGTCTCAAGAAAATGGAGACCAGTCTACTTAACACAAGGTCAAGAAGAGGAGCAGATGTAGGTTCACACCACTATCTTGTGCAAGGAACATTCCAAATCAAGCTAAAAGCCTTCAAGGAAGCTGGTGATAGACCTCAATTCAAGTACAACACTCGGAAACTGAAGGATGAAACTACAAAGGAGATCTTCATGGCAGCCATCAAGACAAAATGGGAGACATCGAGCAACATCCCTGAAGAAACCTGTGTGGAAGAACATTGGAAGTCTTTGAAAGCTATGTGGAAAGAAACCTGCACAACAGTATTAGGAAGGAAGAAGAAAGAAGACAAGGAATGGATCTCGACGGATACCTGGAAGCTGATAGAGGAGAGGAGGATGGTGAAGCAGAAGATAAACCAGTGCAAGGATGCTCAACGACAAGAGGAACTGAGCACAATGTATAAAACATTACACTGGATAAAGAAGTGAAGAAGAGTGCACGCAAAGACAAAAGACACTTCTACGAAACACTGGCAAGTGAAGCAGAACAGGCTGCAGGTAAGAGAGACCTGACAACATTGTATCAAATAACCAGGTTGCTATCAGGGAAGAGACCAACACAGATGAAACCAATAAAAGATGAAGAAGGAAATTTAATTACAAAGGAAGAGAAACAGAGGAAACGATGGGCCGACCACTTCAAGAAGCTCTTGAATCGACCACCGCCACCACCTGCACTTCGTCCAGAAATACCACCTGCAGCCGCTGAATTACAAGTGAACATTAATCCTCCAACAAAAATGGAAGTCCTGAACGCCATAAACCTACTGAAATGCGGGAAAGCAGCAGGACCAGATGGGATCCCGCCAGAAGCACTGAGAACAGATGCAGAGACAACAGCGGACATGCTCACACCACTATTGCAGAAGGTGTGGAAGGAAGAGAAGGTACCTGGCTAGTGATTGGAAGAAGGGTTACCTTGTCAAACTGCCGAAGAAGGGAGACCTCAGTGCTTGCAAGAACTGGCGCGGAATCACTCTCCTGTCCACCCAAAGTGAGCAAAATATTAAGCCGCATCATCCTGGAGAGGCTTAAAGATGCACTGGATTCAAAACTGCGACCGGAACAGGCTGTCTGGATTCAGGAAGTACAAATCATGTGCAGACCAAATTGCAACGCTACACTACGCATCATCATAGAACAGAGCATAGAATGGCAATCAGCTCTCTACCTCAACTTTATCGACTTTGAGAAGGCCTTTGACAGCGTCCACCGAGAAGTAATTCGGAAACTGCTTCAATACTACGGAGTACCGCAAACCTTTATCCGCCTCATTCAACAACTATATGAAGATGCCACATGCCAAGTAATCCACAATGGGAAGCTCAGTGATGCCTTTGAAGTGAAGACAGGAGTGAAACAAGGTTGCCTACTATCCCCCATGATATTCCTTATTGTGGTCAACTGGACTGGATCATGCAGCAAACAGTAGGCAGCGAGAAGAGGGGGATACGCTGGACTGCGGAAAAGAACCTAGAAGACTTGGATTTCGCCGATGACTTGTGCCTAATGTCACATAAACTTGAAGATCTGCAGGCAAAAACTAACAAGTTGATAGAAGAGGCAGCGAAGACGGGACTTCAGGTGAATATAGAGAAGACAGAAGTGATGAAGATACCGCACCACCACCATCAACACCAACAACAAACTCCAATCACCGTCAACGGGAGAAACTTGAAGGAAGTAACCTCCTTCACTTATCTAGGAAGCACTGTTTCAACTACAGGCGGGACGGACGAGGACGTCAAAGTCAGAATCGGAAAAGCAAGACAGGCGTTCATTAGCCTGAAACCAGTGTGGAGATCTTCTGCACTCAGCCTGGAATGTGAACAAGATACGGATTTTCAACACCAACGTCAAGTCAGTGCTCTTGTATGGTTCAGAGACTTGGCGCGTCACGAAAGGAATTTCCAATAAACTACAGACATTCATCAACAACTGCATACGCTGGCTCGCTACTGAAGATCAGATGGCCAGAAAGAATAAGCAACTAGGAACTCTGGGAACGAACCAACCAAGAACCTATCACGCAACAAATATGCAGGAAGAAGTGGAGATGGATTGGCCATGCATTGAGAAGGCCGACTGGGGACATCACGCGTCAGGCCAGTTGCTCGAGTAGAAGCCAGATGGGAAGCGACTAGTTGGACGTCCAAGGGTGACATGGAGGAGGTCATGCGAGGAGGAAATGAGGGCTTGTGGGCTGTCGTGGGACCAAGTTCAAAAGATATCAGAGAACAGAGGTCACTGGAGGCGTGCTACTGAAGCCCTATGTTCCACTAGGAACCCAAGGGACTAATAATAATAATAATAATAATAATAATAATAAAATTTCTCACAACTCACCTTATACTGTTATCATACTAAGTTTCATTGCGATATCCTCATAAACCTTTCGCTTAACTAGAATTTGAAGTAAGAAATAGACAACAATGAGTCTGTAAATAACATTAACTCTTATTTCGATAGCAATTGTATTTTCATTTCAGACTGTTTATTAGAAATATCACACAGAGAAACAGTATCATCTACTCGATAACCTATCTGACATTATTTATTATACATATTCATATCAGGTAACTAACTCCACAACTTCCAGACAGACTTTATACATTCCTAATTTCCTCTCCTTCTCTGTGATGATAAGGATAGTAGAATCTCCCATATATGTGGGACAGGTGCAGAATCATTTCGATTGCATACATTTGGTGTTGATTCGATAAAGAAGGATTCGTTTATCAATATCTCCTTCAACCCTCATTTGTGATTGTGTGTGATTGTGTGCAGAGCTATAGGCGAGCACATCTCTAAATTTCTTATCATATTAGGATCTACTAATCTTCACTTAACTAAGTTTTTGTACTCTGTTGTTCTAATCGACTCCGGTCGACTACTTTGACCTATGTATTTGACCTCTCAGTCATTACTGCAAGGGATTTGGTAGACCTGATCAATTCGCTTACTTGCATTGATAGGATTTTTTAACCTATGAAGCTTGTTTCTAAGCGAGTTTGTTGGTTTAAATGTCACTTTAATCCTAGCTTCATTGAGGATTCTTCGTATTGCTTCTGAGGTGCCTTCCTTGTATGGTAACACAGTAGAGGCATCGGATTCTCTCTCTACCCCGTCACCATCGTTATCATTGGTAGTAGAATTACTATTCATAACACCTGTATTACTACTACTACTACCACTACTAACATTTTTCTTTCAATTTCTTTTGGATTTATTTATAAATTTTGGTTGGTATTTATTGAGACGTGATGTATTCTTGAAGTATCTAACTTCTTGTCGTATATTTTCCGGTCTACTAGTAAACGTTTTCGCTCTATCACTTAAGCACTTAACTAAGCCTAATTTAACTGAGATGGAGTGAGATGGTTTGAAGTCTAAGTAGCTATTCGAATGGGAAGGTTTCTTATAGGCACCATTCTTTAAACTTCCATCGTGTACCTCGGAAGCATTATGAGGAACTTTCAAAGAAGCTGGAATTAAAGTGACATTTAAACCAACAAACTCGCTTAGAAACAAGCTTCATAGGTTAAAAAATCCTATCAATGCAAGTAAGCGAATTGATCAGGTCTACCAAATCCCTTGCAGTAATGATTGAGAGGTCAAATACATAGATCAAAGTAGTCGACCAGAGTCGATTAGAACAACAGAGTACAAAAACTTAGTTAAGTGAAGATTAGTAGATCCTAATATGATAAGAAATTTAGAGATGTGCTCGCCTATAGCTCTGCACACAATCACACACAATCACAAATGAGGGTTGAAGGAGATATTGATAAACGAATCCTTCTTTATCGAATCAACACCAAATGTATGCAATCGAAATGATTCTGCACCTGTCCCACATATATGGAAGATTTTACTATCCTTATTATCACAGAGAAGGAGAGGAAATTAGGAATGTATAAAGTCTGTCTGGAAGTTGTGGAGTTAGTTACCTGATATGAATATGTATAATAAATAATGTCAGATAGGTTATCGAGTAGATGATACTGTTTCTCTGTGTGATATTTCTAATAAACAGACTAAAGTGGAAAATATGGTCGTGAAACTGTTTCATAGTTCAATTAAATTTTGAGGGGGTTGTGGAGATTTGGCAATATTTCAAGTTGTTATTCATCGAAGACTGACATCAGTTGGAGGAACAAAGGAAACCTGGAAGCACTGGACAGCTGTTTCGTCCAACTAGTATGGGACTCCTCAGCAGTGCGCACCCACGACCCCACCAGCAGGGATCGAAACCGCGACCTTCAGGTTCCGCGACCAGCGCGAAACCATTGAGCCACTGGGTCACAATCCAATGCTCCATATTTCCAACTTCTGTTAGCTCACGATATAGCGCAACCGCCACCCAATGTCATCGTTGAGTATTTGTCCTCACGACCATCAGGCTTTGACTCCACCGGTCACGACTTGTCATTGTAACTTCGGGAATACTTCTCGAAGCTAGTCACCAACGAGCACTAGTTCAATTAAATTTTGAGGGGGTTGTGGAGATTTGGAAATATTTCAAGTTGTTATTCATCGAAGACTGACATCATAGTAATTTCATAGTAATTAATGTACCGAATGAAAGCGTTTTTACACTCTATACTTACAAGTTAATTCACTTATTCGCTGAATTTCGTTGTATACCATTGAAGTCATTGTATTGATAGACGAAAGTTCTACAAGAAATTGAGAGAAACTCTTTGAGAGTTTGTGGATAATGGTGTGTCTTCACTGATATGTAACCGAGTAAATATTTTTATGCATAATCGACCTTTATTAGTATCACAGCTTGTGTGATTAAATTGGATTGGATTTAAAAAATGTGATTGGCATTTTCTAAAAAAGAGTATTTTATGAAAACTGGCGAATAAGACTGAATATTCCCTCTTGAACTTATCTAAGAATACTTGGTATATTTCATGTAATAGCATCCTGAATAAATAATATTAAGCTGACAGATAAATTTTTATAAAAGCTGATGCTTTGATCTATAACTCATGTCATCAGCAAAATATGTCTGATGCCAGTTTACACTGGACATTTTACTTTTACAAACTGTCACATTGTTCTTGGTTTACTTTCAAGTGAATTTCGTGCAACAGTTAAATGAGTAAAAAAAAAACAACTTCACTTTCTTATTTTTAGCCCTACCACTATCAATAATCCCCTCCCTTTAGAACAAGAATTTGTTTGTCATACTTAGATAAAAACAAGAGTTTTAACGATATTTTGCATAGAAGTGAGATAATTATGACATACCAAATGATGTAATATTTGGTTTCAGTCTTTGGCATACTTCGAAGTTATTTTCTTCAGTCATTCCTGTTCATTTGAAATCAAAATAATTAATATATTAGTCACTTTATAGCATTAGATTTATAGTTGAATGTATTGCCTAATAAAAGTACTTCTCTGCTTTATCTACAGTTTAACATACACTGACATGTAAATGTAGTCAAGGTCTACTGGGACTGAGATTATCAATTTAACTGTCTTGAAGTGATCTTAACTTCAAAAAGCGAAATATTCAAACTATTTCTAAACTATTGCATTAATTTGAAAGATATCATAATGGATTATTTTCTTCATAGTTTTAAATTTATCAGTTATTCTATACGAAATGAAAATTCCTTAGTGTAATCAGTATATTTTAAATATACAACATTGCTCTTTGCGTACTAGATATTACTTATTTCATCTAAACAGACAACTGAAAAGCTTGTAGACATCTGACACTGAACGAAACATTTTACTTCAAGTCACCAATTTACATTGGCTTCATACTGAAGTTAGTGCTGATGATGTCGTCCAGAAAGACGATGAAAGCTTCACGATTAAGCAACCCAGCTTAGAGAATATAATACAACCAAGATCATCCACCTGAGCTACAAATATTCTCCATTATTACATTGACTGTAATTAGCTGCTTGTTACTGGTATCTTCGAGCCGATTTTAAATTTTTTAATCTGGTTGTGTGTATCATGACCAAAACTATGTCAATCAATTTTACTGTAAAGATTACTGGCGCCAGCTTATAATGTTATGGTCACACTTATTTTGGTACGAAGTTCTGTAAACACTCAAACCAGTAACTGTTATATTATCTATTGAACTTCTAACCTTTGAATCTTAAGAAAACTTTTATTCACTAATAATAGCTTTCACTAAAAATCGCAGTAAAAGCGGATGTACTGTGAATTCCATACTAGAGCATATAGTCATTCAGTTCATACCTTGAATTCACAATTTATGGGAAATATTTTAAAGTCTTTAAACACAAATCTCATTTAATTTTGATTGTTCATCTAAAATTTCCTAATATTCACAGCATTTAACACTGCATATATTCGTTTACAACACAGAGATCACTTTCTCAGAGTCAGAATCAAGACATGTATCAGCGAAGAAATTTTTTTTCAACGACTTCATTATCAAGCTGTATAGTCGTATTTATAATCCGTTAAATGACAGATAAGTGTATTAAAAAGTTGCTCAATCAATATACAAAATATACATCTAGTGTTGATAGTGGGATTTGTTCATGTGAAAGAAATGGATAGTGGGTCACTGAATAAGGAATAAAGTTGATAACAGATGGTGAAATAAGGCACAAGTGCTGTCAAAGAAGTCTAAATGATGATAATTTAACTGAAACCTGACAAATAAGTGAATGAACAAGGAATGAATTGACATTGAATAGTGAAATATGGGTCAAATGTTGTCATTGTAATGAAAATTAGTAATAATGATGATAATAAAAGAGAAGTATACCAATATAAAGTACACTGAAATGGATTTGACAAAATAACTAAAATGAATTAATAGTGATAAGGTTAGAGAAAGTGGTTTCACAAAACATTTTTGAATGTAAAGTGTTGGCATTTGTTCATGTATAGCTAGTACTTCAGCCAATGCATAAATGACAGAAACGTAAATCCTGGGAGTAATTCAATTTAATTTTGTTAATTACTTTAAAGGATGAATCTCAAGGTGCTGAATGACCTAACTTTACTAAGTGTTCACATATGGATGAAGTTGTTTTCTTTCGCTCACCTTTACTAAGTTAAACCTGGTAATATTCAGCAACACGTTTTCAGATGGTCCACTTACAGTTTCCAATATATTAAGCTCCATAGAAGCATGTGAATTTTTAAATACACATAGATGTAGACATAAGTGGAAACCTATCCTTCACGCATTGTTGCATATTGACTAAGCAACTCCTTTTAGTGCAATTATCTATCATTTTACCGAATAAAAATACTAATGTACAGTTTCATAATGAAATCATTTAAAAGAAATATTTCTTCACTGATACATGTCTTGTTCTTATTCATAAATACATGGGTATATTTCATCATAGTCAGAATCATTACTAGGAATACAGAAAACTGATTGATAGCTACTAATAATTGATGCCTTATGAATCATTTTATTGATAAACTATTATATCATTTGAACTGGGTGATGATTGAAGGCGAGATGAAAATCTGAACCGCCGCCGGATTCGAACCAGCGACCATCGAGTTACCGGCCCGGTGCTCTATCAACTGAGCTACGAGGTCCGTACCGGCCGGTAACCCGTTGGTTGCTATTTTAAACCCGGCCGCGGTCCGGATTTTCATCTCACCTTCAATTATCACCCAGTACAACTACTAGTCTGCTAAACTACGGCTATCTTAGATAGTCAAATCATATTTTATCATTGTTATATACTATTCTAAAAGGTATTAACTGACTTCTAGAGTAGTAATGAATCAAATTTTACTGAAATACTACATGAACACTTATCATACGAGTCTCTTACGTGTATAATTCTTCATTCGATTTTCAAGACACTCCTTATTCTTTGAAAAATCTATCAATTTTATAGCTAATATAATAAAAATATATGATTATTTCAAAAGTTATCAGATGAAAGTATTGAATATCGTGAATTAGCAACTGTACTCAATAAAAAAGCACTATGATGGTTTCCTTACTATGCAGGTTGTGAAGAGACACAAAAAAAGGTGAAATTTATGATTTCCTTTGTTTCTGACAATATACAGGTGAAATTGAGGTATCAGTTATTCTAACCAGTACCTTAAATAGATCTTAAGTGAAAGGTAGACAAGAAGAAAACCTGCTTACGTAAATCTCCTTCAATCTTTCGAATGATTTCTTTGAATGCTACAATATAGAATGGAAAAATTTTATATAACAAGTTAAGTGAAGTCAATCAAGTCATTCTCACAGTAGATTTTATTTACATCGCCCAAAAAGATCATTTCAATGCGGTTAACAGTTGTAGTCTATTTGATAGCTAACAAAGAAATCCAAGACGTACTTTTTGTCCTGTTTGGGACTTGTCAGCTGGATGTACCTGCACCCCAGTAGGTGATGTTGCTCCCCATGAGATTCCAACCCAATATCCTCGCTTCAAACCCCATAGTGTTGTGCACTAAAACAAAGTTCTTATCTTATTACCTAAAGCACAAATTGAGTGACACTGATTTTATTTTTATTATTTGTCCTTTGGGTTCCTAATGGAACATAGAGATTCAGTAGCACACTTCCATTGCACTCTTTTCTCTGCAGTCTTTTCAACCTGGCTCCACGAATTGCCACAAGCTTTCACTTCTTTCTAACATCATCTCCTTTATGTCACCCTTCGACGCCCAACTCGTCGTTTCGCTCGAGGGTCTGGCCTGGTGCGTGATGCCCCTAAACGGTCTTCTTAGTGCATATCTGGTCAATCTCCACTTTCTTCCACTGCATATTTGTTGGGCGAGAGGTTCCTGGTTGGTTCTTTGTCAGCCAACCAGCCAGCCAGAGTGAGTTCCCTGTTGTTTGTTATATTATTCTGGCCAACTGATCTTCAGTGTCAGTATGTAGTGAGCGTAGGCGGCAGCTGTTGATGTGTCTGTAGTTTGTTGGAAATGCTTTTCATAATGCGCCAAGTCTCTCAGACATCATATAGAAGCACTGAATTGACTGACATTAGTGTCGAAAATCCAGATGTTGTTCACGCTTTATGCTGAGTGCAGTGCAGTGGAGTGCAGTAGATCTCCACACTGATTACTTCGGATTAATGAAGGCCTGTCTTGCTGTCTTCCCAATCGTAGCTTTGGCATCCTCATCTGTGGCACCACCGCCTGTAGATGAAGCGATGCTACCCAGGTAGGTGAAAGAGACAACTTCCTTTAGATTTCACCTGTTGATGGTGATTGGTGCTTGTTGTTGGTGATAGTTAAGTATCTTCATCACCTCTGTCTTTTCTACGTTCAGAGTGACACTGTAGTGAAGTGTAAAATAAATTTAGACTTCTGCGTCGGCTACACGATATGTACTTGCATTATGTATTAGCGTTTAGGATCATTAGTTTTACTCATACCTATACACTCCACTTTATTAATTTAGTTACGATGTTGACAAATATATTATGACTTCTATGTAAATAAATGCAGGCTTCATCTCAAAACAACCAATAAATTTACTAATTATGCTATAATTTAATGCTTATACATGACTTTTCTGACACAGAATAAACTCATGACAACTTTAAAAATAGTTTTAAGAATGGAACCATGAGACGCTTAAGAAAAACATGACTAAATAAAATGACTCTTTGAAATAAACTTAAACTTTGATTACAGGGAAAAAAATCTTTAAAGTAACAAACTTTTCATTAGTTCCACTCCAGTCTTCCCTTCAAAATGCTTGTTTTGACAGGCGAAATCTATAAAAATGTTCCTTTATTATGTAACCGACTTCTCACTGACATTTGTTAACTGTTTGGCCTTTAGCAGATAGTATTTTGTTAATATTTTCTGTAAAAAATGTGGGTAAAGCATTAATTATAAAATACCATACAGTAACCCCACAAGTTCAGTTACTTTCGCATCCACGTCTTTTTACAAATTTAATCAGTATTAAATAGCAGTTGAAATAGGAATCGTTCGACAATGGTTGACTGATTAAACTGTCTAATTCTCAGTGATTAGCAATGACAATAGTTTTTCCATTCAGTTTTATAATGTAGCCATTAAGCTAAGCGAGGTGAAACTGTGGTTTACTGCTTTCAGGTATTACCTGCTAGTGTCAGTCAGCAGAAAGTCCATCTTTACCTTGGCTTTTTTTCCTTCTTGTTACTCATCAGCAACATACATCTTCAAATATGAGGAAATTGGTGTCCCCTGGATGACTGACGCGTTACGCTAGGTTAGACTATGGAAGGAATATTAGTTTCCTAACAGTTCCAGGTCATATCTTGATGGTGAGTAAGACTTCTTACCGGTTGATTTCCAACATCTAGTATTTAACCATCCACACGTTAAACAAGATAGTAGTATTATTGACGAAAGATAAGCAATAGGTTAAATGCTTAGTTTTGATCACTGAAATGAATTTAAACAAATGGCTATCAGATACAATTTGAACTTAGACTCAATTAAACAAAACTGGCTAGTTAAGTGTTCACAGATTTACGGCCCACTTGAAATGAAAGCAAAATAACTGAAATTCGATTGTTCTTCTTCATGAAAAACACACCTTGTTTTAAGGCTTGAATATGTTTCATATATTATTGTGGTTATAGATGAGTTAAACGAAATAAAAAATAGTAAATGAAATACCTATTTTCTTGACTATTTGCCCTTCTGTTATTTTCATGGTTCTTGTCAATTCATTCAGTTGTTCTAAATATAAGATTTATTCACATATTTGTTATATAAGCTTTATATTCTTATCGAAACTGAACTATGAGTTGAGTTTTATAGGTAAACTGATGAAACACCAAGCTTATCAACCAGATGCAGTAACATTTCTTTTCCGATTCTCTTTCAATCACTAGTGAATATCAGTAATATCAAATTTCTAAATCGTAACTACCTGAGATAGTCTCTTAAACATTCTAGCAAAGTCTACGTTATGTAATATTATCAACCGTGAATTTATTACAGTATGTAATTACAACATATGAGGATCGCTGTGGAACCTGAAGTTACTGAGTTCGATCCCTAGCCGGGTCGTGGGTGCGTACTGCTGAGGACGAAACAGCTGTCCAGTGCTCCCAGATTTTCAATGGTTCCCCAACTGATATCACTTCATGATGAATACTACTTCTAAATATAAGGATCAGTTAATGAATTCAGTGCTCAATGAATACAACTTCATATGTAAATATAACGTAGTCGAAGCCTCATAAAAGAAGGGGAGTAGAACATACAGACAATATGTTGGGTAAATTCTTCTCAAAAATGAAACATAGCATGCAGTTTCAAAACTAAGATTTACAAATAATAACTACATACTCTGAGCTTACCTGTATCATCGTCAATAAAAGCTTCTACTTGTTGTTTTATCGCCTTGTAATTTTCTGTATCTTAAGTAGGAAGATGAAAAAGAAAATAATCACATACTTCACAATGAAAAATAATCCTTTAAAGAGTGATTTTTTAGGGTGGGTAAGTTACAAGATTTTCCACAAAATGAAGATAAACAATAATGATCTAAAACCGATTATCCATTGAATTACTCTCAAACTACCAATCAGAACGCTTTATTATACATGAATATATTAGCTTCAGTAAATATTTGCTTATATGCCAATGAGGGAATACTGAAAAATATTTTGCACAGCACTTAAGAAGAAACTATCCTGTATGTAACTATTTTCTCACCTGTTTTTATAGTTCTACTGTTAAATAAATTTTCACTCTAGAAATATATATCTAAGATACAACGATTCTGGTTGTTTATTCAAGGCTATTTGATGGATTATGGGTTTTATGCCTTTCTCCTCGCCTATAAGTAACAGTTTGACTACTTTATACACCATATTAGTAACTCGAATGACCAGTTGACTAGATTTTTCAAATCGTACTCTTTATAATGCGCTACGTGATGAGCAACCAAGTCCCTTAAACTTGTCGGTGGCATATCATCCTTAAAATGTACTACTATTTGTATTTTTCAAAAACACCCAACGTCCCATTACAATTTCACTTGCTATAAAATGGAGCTACTTTAATGACACGAGTTAAGGATTAGTAAAAGCAATATGTAAGTAAATGTTATTAGTGACTAGCTTCGAGAGACGATTCCTGAAGTTCAAATGAGACAGCGAGACTAGTAGAGTAAACCTGGTGGCATTGAGGACAAATACTCAACGATGACATTGGATGATGGTCGCAGTATGTCGTAAACCGACAGAAGTAGGAAACATGCACCACTTGATTCCAATCCAGTGGCTCAGTGGTAATGTACTTGCCACGGAACCTGAAGATCCTAGCCTCAATCCCTCGTGTTATGGGGTCATGGATGTGCAATGCTGAGGAATCCCTTAGTAGGACGAAACATCTTAGTAGTGCTCTCAGCTTTCTAATGTTCCTCAGATTGATATCAGTTCATGATGAACAACAAACTGGAAATATGAAAGTAATCGTCAATTAACCTATTGTTACCAGTAATGTTATTATTCTTTGTATGCACACAAAAAAACCACTATTCATATACGTAGATAAGTGATACTTTATCAAGTGTAGATCAGTAATTCAAAGCAACACACAATTAGGCTGTTTGTCATCAACTAGAGCTTTACATGTTAAAAGATTTTTAGGTATTTAAAATATGCTATTACTTCCCAAAATACTAACCAATTATGAGGTAAAATAGACGACTACTTATCATAAACCATATCATATATATAACTAAACATGTATACTCAGCTAATCAGTGAAATACAGTGTACATGAACTTGTTAAAGAGTAATTTATAGAAAATTTTCATAACATTCTTATAAATTGTAAATTTACCTTGTATAGTTAATCGTATACAACTCAGAAGTGCTAGAACTATTTGGATTAATAGTATGTGATCCATTTTGTGTGTATGATATGCTCAGATTACTGGTAACCATTTATACATATATAAGTTATACACACAAAAAATTACACTGTAGATATTGGTCAACTGTACATGTTATTGATGAGTACTTTACACAAATAACAACTGATAGATTCAACCTATGATATATTTAAGCATTCTAGCATAAGGTTCATAACAAATTAAAAATCTGTGTAACAAAAATTGGATTCTATATCATTTAAACAATAAATAATTATCATTAAATATTGTTTAAAATAATAGATGAGTCCGAAACGTTTAGATAATAGATATAACCTGAGAAACCGTTTTTGTAATCTTTTTTCACCCTTGTTTCAAATTCAGTTTTATCTCTGTTATTTCCTTTGTTGTAAGCATTGTTTAACCTCACCTGGTTAACTAGTTCACTAGTTACTAGCCGGTTCTAAGCTCAGATAAAGAGGGAAGGTTGGACATAGGACTACCAACCCTACCCCGGAAAACCAATTCAACCACTACAGAAACTTCAAAACACAGACAAAATATAAAGCATAAAAACAAACTAATTCCTCACTGAAATTGGACAGACGAAATGACGCCGGTTGATGAAAGCCTTCACGAAGCCAGTCGACTGATGTGTCTTTTCTCTCTCAATGAAAGCGAAAGTAGACATGGGGACGTGGAATGTCCGCACTACATTTGAAGCTATCAAAGCTGCCCAGATTGTAAACGAGATGAGGAGATATGTCATGGAAGTGCTAGGAATGTGCGAAAGCAGATGGAATGGAAGTTGACTGTCTAAACTGTCAACTGGAGAGTCAATAATCTACTCCGATATTGTCATCCAGATGACAACCACGAGCACGCTGAGTTTTCGAGTGGCAATCGTGATGTCCCCAAGAACATCAAAGGCTCTCTCTCTCTCACAAACAGAAGGAAAATACACCGACCATCGTATATTCAATATTCGATGTCTCAGCAGTCAAATCATTCCCTAATATTTACGTCTACATGCACCAATCCCAACAAATATGAAAAAGAAAGTGGAGATGTATTGGGCATGCACTGATAAGGCCGACTTAGGACATCACATGCCAGGCCCTGGAGTGGAATCCGAAGAGGAAACGACGAGTTGGGCGTCTGTGGCGAGAATGATATGGAGGAGATTATGTAAGGAAGAAATGAAAGGTTGTGGGCAGTCGTGGCGCCATGTTGAAAAGACTTCGGAGAAGAGAGTGCAATGGAGGCGTGCTACTGAATCCCTATGCTCACCAGAAACCCAAAGCAAAACTAATATAAGCATTGTTTTCCGATAGACTTGTTTGGTTCCATGTAATTTTTGTTTGTAGTTCCTAGTTCATATTCTGTCTTCCCACTGTTTCCATTATTTTCTGATTTTTTATCTCAATGTTAAACTTTGGCCAACTGTGATGTCTACAACAAGCAGTACGACTAATCAATCGTAACTTTAACTGTGATATAACAGTCAATCAAAGTTTCAATTACTATATAACAAAAATGTCAACTTATTCCAATCAAATTAATGCCATTAACTACGTGTATAAGGAATTCTAGTCGTCTATCTAGCTGGTACGATAGTAGTTCATTTCTTGTTAATTCAATTACTGTAACCTACAATAAAAATATCTTTTGCATTTCAGCATTATTGCAAAAGATTTCACTTTACTTTAGAAGTTCCTTACCAATGCTTAACTCCAAAAATTAAAGAAAATCCAGTATACTTAGAAGCTTGGTGTTAATCAAAGTACCAGTGGGCTGGGAAAACACCTGATCTTTGGTTACAGGAATAAATCGAAGACCTTACAGTTCTCTGAAGAAGAAAGAAATTTATGAGAGCCGAATTCACTTCGTATATCAAAAACATGAAAGTATTAGACACGTTAAAATATCAAAAAAGATAAAACACACAAGAATACAGTGAACTCAAGAGGAAAATGGAACCAATAAAATACACAGAAGGAATTAAATTCGCCTGATGAGAGGTCAAAAAATGAATGAATGAATTTTGGATCTTATCTTTCATTATTACTATTCTGGTACTCGTTACTTTTATCGTGTACTTTTTTTTTCTAGTCCTATCTCAAACTATAAAAAGTCATGTGTGTCACCTGTGTTGTCAATAATGATTATTGAACTCAGCCTTCATGATGTTTTATTATGATTTTACCTAGGATTCCTAATGCAACTGCTTATCGTAATCAATCTCTGATGTAACCTCCATATAACAGATTTTGTACAGTGAGTAGTTTTTATACGCCACGAACTCACTCGAACCATAAAGTTGTCAAATCATCTTATTCATATGCTAAATTTATGACAATTATATCATAAATATGATAAAAACAAACACGAGGATATTGTCGGAAGTACAAATGCACTGACTACTAAGGATTTCCATCCTAAGTCTTATGCATCAAATAAAATAATATCACCTCTTTTTTATCAGCGCTTAATACCCAGTCTCATTAGTGAAAACTTTCAGTGCTGAGTCAGACAATTTCCTTTTTTTATTGTTGATATTGGAAGTGTAGAGTTCAGAAAGTATAAAGAAATTTGTTGTTAATCTATGACAACATAGTTAAAACTTAGTGCTAGTTCGATTACAGGCATAACTGACGACAAGTTACCACTATTGGTGAGCCAGATTAAGTGAACTCGCTTCGCTCCACACTTATATTAAGCGCTTAGTTTTGTATATATTTCCTAAATTTTGCTAGTTTTTCGGTCATGAATATGAGTTCTTCACAAGTTGCCTCACTAAGCTTACAAAATCGGAAGAATGATTGCGACTTGCAAACAGGCTCATTACATGCCATATCTGACGTATGACTTCCACCGTATGGCTTTAACAACCCTCGCATATGGTTCGCTCAAGTTAAGGCTTTTTTTATGGCTCGCAGCATTCGCTCCCAAGCATCTAAATACGCTAATATGGTAGAAGCCTTACCTGTTGAGGTCGCCACTGAGATCGGAGACTTAATCGATAACATCCCGGAAGAAGTGCCTTACAACAAACTGAAGTTAGCAGTTATACAACGGACATCAATATCCGATGAGAAGCGGCTGCAGCACCTACCAGCCACGTGTGAACTGGGTGAAAGAAAGCCCTCACAACTGCTCCGATACATGAAACAGCTCGCCGGTTCATATCAATTTGATGAGGCTGTTCTCAAGCAGCTATGGCTTCAAAAGCTTCCATTTAACGTTCGGCAAATACTCAGCATCTATGCAACAACTACTGAACTGGACAACTTAGCTAATATGGCTGATAAAATAGTAAAAGTCTACCCAGATAACCTTTCTACTAACCATTTAACGACAACCACAACAATAGCCTCTACAATAACCTTCCGTCAACCTCTACCCACTCCTCTAGTGTTGAGTCACAGTTAGTGGAAATAACGTCCAGGTTTGAAGCACAGACAGCAACGGTGTCGAACATAGACTTTCGTCGCCCGAGGTCCAAATCTCGCAAACGCTCAAATGACACCCACTAACCTCACACACCTAAAGCTGTACAAGAGATCTGTTGGTACCACAGAAAATTTGGCCACGAAGCCATGCGGTGTACTAGACCCTACAACTTTAACAAAAGCTCATCGTCAGACAAGAGAAACTTGACAGCCAGACAGTGGTGGTGACAGCTGTTACTGGCAACCACTCCAGTCTCCTCTTTTATATGACGGACAAAGCTTCAGGCTTCCAGTGTTTAGTCAACACAGGTGCCGAAGTTAATGTCATTCCGCTCTCGCTTTCACGGTAACATCAACAACCTCTTGAGTGCTTTCAGTCTACTGGTTGATGTCAACAAAAAGAAGCTGACTGATGCATGTACAAAGCTGGACGTACGAGGCATTGAGTCAGATTATTTCATCCATAGCGTCTGTATTGCAAAACCTGATGCTGATAAATATGCACACCTACTCCAAAACTTCCCCCACAAAGTGAAACCCAACTATCCCTCCGAGGAAGTACGCCACATAACAGTGCATAAGATCGTCACCAAAGGTCAACCGGTCCGTGCACGACCCTGATGCCTACCACTTGACAAGTTAGCCGTCGCAAAGCTAAATTTGAACATATGATGCAGCTGGGCATAATACGGCCTCCCAACAGCGCTTGGGCATCGCCGCTGCACATGGGGGCAAAGAAAGATCATGATTGGCGTCCATGTGGTGACTATCGTGCTTTGAACAATGCAACTATCCATGATCGCTACCCCATCCCACGCCTACGCGATTTTTCCCTCACCCTTCATGGGTAAAACATATTCTCAAAAGTAGACTTAGTTCGCACATGCTATCAAATACCTGTCAGACCGGAAGTCATCACAAAAACGGTGATAATAACTCCTTCCGGACTGTTTGAGTTTCTCCGGATGCCATTCGGACTTAAAAACGCAGCGCAATCGTTCCGACGATTCATGGACCAGTTTAGACAAGGTCTCGGTTTCGTTTTTGTCCATATCGATGACGTCTTGATAGCAAGTGCTTCTTAGAAAGAACACTTCCAACACCTTGTCATTTTGTCGGAACGTTTTCAGCAATATGGGGTAGTCATTAATTCTCATAAGTGCATCTTTGGGGTACTTTCGTTAGAGTTTTAGAGACATTAAATAGGCGCCCAATGTATAAAACCTCTTAACGATAAAACTTATGCTCTCTCACAGTACACCAAACCTGATTCAACGAATAAACTTCAACTTTTCCTTGGTATTTTCAGCTTCAACCGATGTTTCATCCCACCCTGCGTCTCAATTCTCCAGCCTCTGAAGGTTTTGCTTAAGGGCAACTAAAAAAGCTCTGTTCCACCGACGAAGCTTTTCAGAACGCCAAAGAAGCGTCATCATAGGTAGCCATGCTTTCACATTTGAATCCTAACCCAGAAGCGTGTCTGATCACCTGCACAGATGCCTCCCAATCTGCAGTTGAAGCTGTCCTACTTCCCCTTGCTTTCTTTTCGAAGAAGCTAGAGCCATCCCAAACAAGGTGCAGTACCTTTGGAAGGGAACTTCTATCTGTCTACCTCGCTATCAAACACTTTAATCATCTGTTACAAAGTAGTAACTTTACCATCCTCACTGACCACAAATCATTATGCTATGCGTTTCGAACATCATTGGATAGACATTTGCCAAGAGAAGCTAGACAACCGGACTATATCTGACAGTTTTCTATAGATATCCAGTTCATGAAGAGTAATGCTAACGTTGTTGCCGATTCCTTGTCTCGAATCGATGTGAATCTCCTAACGCTATAACCAGACATCGAGCTCGAAAATATGGCGACAGTACAGAAAAACGACTTTGATCTCCTGGCTAACCAAACGAACTCAACTCTTATCCTCAAAGATGTCCCAATACCCCTATCTGACGCTAACATTATGTGTGATGTCCTTTATTTCCATTAGTCTGCCGAAAAGCTGTGTTTCAGCACTTACACTTCTTTACTCATCCGGGAGAATGAGCCATGGTTAGAACGATTAGTCAACGTTTTGTGTGGCTTAAAATGAAATCGAGTATCAGAGGATGGGCACATGAATGCTTGCATTGCCAACGTTCAAATGTGCATTGATATGCGATTACTACACCTCACCAGTTCCAGCTACCTGACAGACATTTCCAACACGTCCATATAGATCTTGTGGGATCCCTTCCAGCATCCAAATGATTCACACACATACTGACAGCAGTCGATCGTTTCACCAGATGGACTATGGCTTGCCCTATAAGTGACACTTCAGCTGAGAACATCGCCTCCGTTTTCCTTGACCGCTGAGTTTCAGACTTCGATGTACCTACTACACTCACTTTGGATACAGGTTCACAACTCCAGTCAACCTTGTTTCAAGAGCTCACTCGACTCCTCGGAGTACATCATATACGAACTGCAGCTTACCCTCCAGCAGCGAATGGTCTGGTGGAAAGATTTCATAGTCAACTGAAAAGCTGGCTGATGACACCGAATGACTGTACTAAATAGAGTGAATTTCTTCCAGTCACCCTACTTGGAATCCGATCTGTTGTGAAAGAAGACTAAGGATGTACTGCAGCTCAAATAGTATACGAAACGGACTTGGTCTTGCCAGTACAGTTGGTAAACTCACAGAATCCATAGGAAACCAATATTTCTACGTTTGCTAAACAACTCGCTCAACGTATGTCACTCATACAGTCCAAACCACCTCGCACTAGCAACCGTCAAGAACAGTTGGATAAGCAGTTGATGTCCTGCAACTCTGTTTTTGTCCGGATCGACGGGATTAGAAAAGGTTTGCAACCTCCATATGAAGGACTTTTCCCAGTGATTGGTCTAGCGGTAAAGTACTTTATCATAAAGAAACGTGGGAAGCAAGAGACAGTACCTCTTGATCGACTCAAGCCAGCTTTCGTAGGTGATGCAGCCGAAGTGAATGAACCACCACTTCAGAGTAAAACTTCATCTACCTGCACGCCACTGCCGATCTCGTCCCGCAAGGAAACTTCTCCCATTCTTTCAAGCAGCACACGTAGCGGCTGGCAAGTAATCAAACCCGAACGTAATGTACATTTCATTGACCAATATTTTCCCGATTACCGATTTTAAATATTTTATTATTTTACATCAAATATATTCATAAATATACATGCCAATTATTAATACTTCTATTATTATTATTATTATTATTATTATTATTATTATTATTATTATTATCACTATTGTTATTATTATTTATATGCAAGGCATACTCCCCGCATTTCTCACCCCTTTTATAACAATATATATCACATTTTACCGTTGTTCTTAAGGTTTCCAGGAAATAAGTGTTTTAGGATAATTATAATCATCACTTATGAATATTCGTACTAATTTTGTTTCCTTACTAATGTACTTTTGAACAGTAACCCCTGGAATATATAATTTTTATCTGTACACATTTTTTGGATCTTCCCTGTGCGTATATTTTTTTGTTTCTACCAGACAGCTCCTTTGAATTCTTAAGAGGGGAGCTGTGTGGAGACAGCGTGTAATTGTGTATAAACCACTTAAATTAAAAATAATGCTTCCTTTTCATCGCGTTTTACACATTTTGTACATTCTTTCTAATACTTGTAAAAACGAATGCTGTTTATCTGTACACTTTTTGATTGTGGCGGTATTACCGACTTTGCTACTGCTGTTAAACGTGGAAGCATAGTGTACTTCTATCCATTCCGACTTCTGCCTCCGTGACTATTGTCTGTCGTGAATACTCATTGATTGTCTTCGGATTTTACAGGACCGCTCATCCTACTTCCTAATATTACGACAATCAAGCCAACCAACGTCGACTGTGGAGAGCTAACAAGTATCGCCTTCTGAACTCTGGAGTATCTTAAATTGTGGTGGACAGTACCGAAGACATAAAATTCAAGCAACCCATTTTTATCTATAACATGTACATAACTGTTTTGTGTTATAGCGTATAACTTTTCATATTTCTGTATAAGTGAATCTATTTTTGTAAATTATACGCAGTTTAACATTTTGGTTTACTTGACATTTCTTTGGGTCCCCTACAAGTGTCAGTTCTTGGTCTCAAAGACGAAATATTTATTAGGGAAAGTGATTGAATCCGTGATACTGACGACTCATATCATGCTTAAAACCAATGGAACCTACGGTATATTCCAGTCACGACTCAGACTTCAAACTGATTTAATATTTGAATGGATTTACTGCTACATTTTTGTCACAGAAACAGGTGAACAGTTTTACGGGGTGTTTATTGTGCAATTCAATATAGAAAGAATATAAACTTGATAATATTTACTATTATCTAATCTAGCAGTCATCAGGTTCACAACCTTTTGAAATACTGCAGGTGATGCCGTTAATCCACAGGGTGAAAATTTATGCTTTAACACCTCAAGTTGGGAATTAATGGTAGTTGGTCGGCTGGAGGCTTAATCAGAAGGAATTCGTACATATGCACCCGTTAGATCTATTTCAGAACATCATTTTAAACCATGTCATTTGAACAAGATATCTTAAGTTTCTTGAATAATACAGCTTTACTGCAGAAGCCAGTTATTTAGCAGTCGACGCTTATCACAGATTCCCAGCATCTTTCCAGCTGTCTTCAGTGGTGTCGTGATAAAAGCAGCTCAAGTAGTAGATTCAACAAGTAAAAGTATGTTCTTTTCAACCAGTTCATCCAGTTCTTTCTGTAATTTTTTCTAATGTTGCATGAAATCAGTCGACGCCCCAGAAAATAGGCTGTCCCTATATTCCTAAGTGTGTTGGCTGAATGTTTATGCTGCCAACGGACGGTAAACAGTGAAAGATCAGTTCTTTCAGCAAAAACTGGTCAGATTTAAAACCCTGTGCCAATGGGCCGTGGTAAAGAAAGTAAAGAATCTTTATGAAGCTAAAATTCCCTGCTTGCAAAGAAATGTCAACTGTACCAGTAAGCGGTGTAGTGGACCTAAAGAAATGTCAAGTAAACCAAAATGTTAAACTGCGTATAATTTACAAAAATAGATTCACTTATACAGAAATATGAAAAGTTATACGCTATAACACAAAACAGTTATGTACATGTTATAGATAAAAATGGGTTGCTTGAATTTTATGTCTTCGGTACTGTCCACCACAATTTAAGATACTCCAGAGTTCAGAAGGCGATACTTGTTAGCTCTCCACAGTCGACGTTGGTTGGCTTGATTGTCGTAATATTAGGAAGTAGGATGAGCGGTCCTGTAAAATCCGAAGACAATCAATGAGTATTCACGACAGACAATAGTCACGGAGGCAGAAGTCGGAATGGATAGAAGTACACTATGCTTCCACGTTTAACAGCAGTAGCAAAGTCGGTAATACCGCCACAATCAAAAAGTGTACAGATAAACAGCATTCGTTTTTACAAGTATTAGAAAGAATGTACAAAATGTGTAAAACGCGATGAAAAGGAAGCATTATTTTTAATTTAAGTGGTTTATACACAATTACACGCTGTCTCCACACACTTTGTAGTCCTACTCTAAATATATTCCTAGTTTCATGAATTCGTTGTCACCAGATCTCACTCTTGTTTTTGGTCACTAATTTGTATGGTAAAGACGTTATCTAAACATTTCACGAAACACGGTAAAGTTTTTAAATAGACAAGCTTTTTTTGCAGTATACTCAACAAAGCATACCTCTTTTCAGAATACAGGCGTTGTAAATTGGGTAAAGCTCCAGAAGAAGAGCAAAGGGGCGACATAATGATCCGTGTGACTTGACCTTATTCTTTAATACATTCAAAAATATTGATAATTTGTTTTGTTTGACTTTATTCGGTTTGTTTGTTTAACGACATTGAAGTTCTTCTCTCGATACGCTGCAAAGTTGTATTTTTTGGGTCGGAAAACATGGAAGCTGCGAAATTGGAGACTCATGATTAAACTTCGCTCAAATATTTTGCTTTAAAGAACACCTTCCATTAGTTTTCATTACAATTTGAATGTACATTCCTTGTTTGGCAAGCGAGTGTTTAAAACATTCTGGTTTCTATTCTCTGGTGCACGCTACTCTGCAATTTGGACCATAACCCTAGTCATTTGCATCTCAAGATGTCTGAGTAGGAGTGAGCATGAAAATCCTGAAATCCCGAAACAATTAACACCGTTCATCTGGACAGTCGATCTTCAATACAATTATCTGTTTGATACAAATTCTAATATTATTACTTTGACGCTAGTTCACCATTCAGACAAACCCTTAAGTTGATCACCTACTACTGTGTACAGAAATAGACTTTAGAACTGAGTAATCGTGACTGCGCAAACGAATGCAGACAGGCTACAATACAAATATACCTCAGGCGGTTTCTCTAAAGCCTTATTTATCAGTAAATAGTTCCTGCTCCTGCAGCTGATAATTTGATAGTTCAACCTATTTCTAGGGGAACATCAATCACGGAGTGAAAGATATTGGTCGTTGTCATCAGTGTGCAGCTTCGTCTTATTCTTGGCAAAATAGGTTGACATAAAACAGTGCGGAAGGTGAACCTAAAGTGATTAGAAGAGCTAGTTATGTCTGCTGATGACCCCCTACTTTTGCATCAGGATACAGTACAAACAAGTAATGATGAGTTTCCAGTTAACCTTTCGAATCTCAAATATTTTGAACACTTTCAACAAATACAACTTCATCAGATCCAAACTGTTATCAAGGAAATAATTATCGACATCACTGTTGAACCGAATTATTAGGATTTTGAACTTGTAGCCTCCTTTCTTTTTAAAACAGAAACGTATACCAGGTGGAAAGTAATCAACTACATCGTTCTAATAATAATATTATTGATTGAGTTACCAGTCTTTATTTACTAGATAGTTTTAAGATGCTGAAGGATAACACTAAGGAAAATAGAAGCGCTGAAGAAGCGAGAAGATCTTGGATACTTGCGGATAGACCTAGAGCTCACCATGAACAAGCGGAATGTCATACAGCATGTGATGGATGTGCTGAATAACTACTTCAGCTACTGTACATTATGGCTGCTCATTATTTTTTGTTTCCATTTGACTCACAATTTGCAAGTAATTCCGCTGACTACTAATTCTTGGGTCCTATGCATTTTGTCAGCATATTTCAACCCCTGGTAAATGTATTACTACTATCAGCGCTGCAGTCACCTACTGCGCCATTTTTCTCTACTCAAGACGCGACATAGAAGTAGGCCATGAAGTCCTTATTTATTTTGAGTGGGAAGTAGTTTGGAAGCCTAAGTGAAATGTGATGCTTGTTGACCCTGAGTGTTGTTGAATAATGTACCGGAAAAGTAATTTTGCTTAAGGTAGCCCATCATACAACAGTAGCTGAGGTTCTTTCTGGTTTAAACTGATAGACCATCCAGTGCGTAAGTAATAAAAAGAACAAGCTTATTGAGACTTCTGAGACAGGCATGTTCGCAGAGGTTCAACAAAAATATTGGCTAACAATGCAGGTATTTTCCACAGCGTTTAGGATAAAGGTAAATGTATATTATTAGGTGGGACGTGAAGGTGCCTAAATATGGGGGAGTAAGCCATTGATTAATCCTTCAAAGAAAAAGCCTGGTCGCTCATTGTGTGGTAACTTTTGCAGTACGCTAGTTTCGAACTCTCGGTACTTTCAACATGTTCATTTTCTCTACAGTCTGCGGCGTGAACAATTCCATGTATGGCGGTCCATAAGCTGCTTCAAGATAACGACAAATGACTTTGCAACATGGGGAAGCATGTAGTATTTTCAATAAAGTGGGGCGAACGATTTCGTCCGTTGCTTGTAATCAGACAGTAACATGTGGAACTGAGCGCATTTAAATATGGAAGAATATCTTTGCTACTTAAACGAAACTGATGAATGCAAGCCTAAACTAAAACAATCATAATGCTACATCGGTGGCCATCTTTAGGATGCCTTTCACTTTCACAGATATCTGATTGGATGCTTTAACCAAGTAAGTTTCAGGAAGTGTTAATTGCGCATGAAGTCAAAGTCATGTGGTGAACATTTCATGTCTGATGGCACTCGAGCGGTGTTCTGATGTCTGACTGCTGGCAGTAACCGTTTAAACGTCAGCCACCGTTATCCTTTTTCTTTATCACATACAAAGGCGACACTAACTAGGATGTTCAGTGGTTGTTTAGTGTGTAGTGCATCTTCCTGGCACCAAAATATAACCAGGGCTAAAATAAATAGACTAAATTAAATTAACTAAATAAACCTCCAGCTTGCCTCCGGATGCTTAGGGTGTTTTAAGTTTTGTTTTAACAAGCGTACATCCGAGCAGGCTTGGAAGCCATTTCGCGCTCCATTGTTCTGGTTACCACGCACGTACTCCGATTCCCTAGTTCAGCCTTACAAGCCAGATAAGTTGGTTAAACTTTTTCCTAGTCATTATTATTACATTTACTTTAATTAAATACATAGCTCCTTCAAATACATTGGGTATCAGTTCTTTTGTTTTGTGTTTTGTTATCAGTGCTTACACGTTAGGTAAAGTACTGGTTAAGCAGGTATTAGAGCACATCAAGTTAAGTAGGGTTAATCAAACGTTACGGAATTGTAACACGCTCCCCCACAAATGCTTAAGTCAAGTGTATGGTTGAATCCATTCTCCGCCGTTCTTAAATTATGGGGGGTTGGACGGCAAGCTCGAATGTTGTGGGTGATGCTGTAAATGGGATATGAAGCATAGCATTACTCGTTGTGCATGGTGGAGTATACATCTGTTATCTCAACTAAATATGTCTGTCTAGCACTGTCTGCCAGAGGTCGACTGAACGCTTAGATTGAACTGTGACCAAACTTCGGCACACGGAGAGGTTCCGCCATTCAATAGGTTTTTGTCGTCGATGGCCGACATCCAACAACAATGGTGCAAGTAGAGGAAACCTATAGATTTTGAGCTCTCTCTCCTAGGTTTAAAGGCTTGGCTCTTTTTGTTTAGTTACACCACTTCGGCTATTTATGAGTAGTTCGTAACAGTTTAACATATCTTTCCCAATGGCTGGGGTTGAGATATAAGTCAGACGGAAAATTCGGCGAACCGTTTTGAGCATTTGACGGCATGTGGACAGTGAAACCTGCATAACATGAGAATTAAAAGTTGTAAAAGTGAAAAAGCCGAACACCTACAAAGAGGAAAAAGCACACTAGTTTCAAAATTTTTGCAACGGATCTGAAGGGTTGCAGACGCTAGACACTTATTTGTTATATTTTTGGATAGCAGTGAGCGTGCGAACAAGGAAAAGCACACTTTTGCTACCAGTTAAGAACCGTATATTTTTCGTATCCTGCCAATATACCGAGATGCGCGATCAACGCAACATAATATGACGACGTACCAGAGGCTTGATTGTGTATATTCACCTCAACAAGTTCTTCATTACAATGTTGGTCAATACAAATTCCACATCTCTTTGAACTTTGGATAGTCGCTCCCTGTTAGTTGTTCGCTGCCACACCATCATCTCACGCCCACCCACTTCCGTTTCTTTGTCTCCTCTTTCCTCCTATCTCTTCTCAGCCATTTCACATGACCGTCCGGTAACATCATATCTGAAGATATCACCAACAAAAGGGAAAAAAGCCGATCGCGCCTATTCCGGCAGGGTTAACCGACATAATATTATGAGCGCACTCTTTGAATACCAATGTGTTCCGCCTTGTCTTCATTCTTTCAGAAATAACCATTATCACGCCTATGCAGTCGGAGTTTCCATATTCGTACAGTTTTGCAAAACCATTGTCCACGGAATGTACAATCCTCAAAGTAAAATGAAGTCCCTGACCAAACACTGTGACCACTGGGGTATGCTGACGGGTGATCTCGCCTTAATCGAAAGGAGGAAAGCTTTTCAGTGTGGCGTTTGTGGATATGCTGTCAGTGCGATATGGGCGTACCGGAGCAGCATTAGGCCTTCATAGCGCGTCGCCAGTGCACGTGGTTCTGGCATATTTCTCCTCGCTGCTGCATAAGAGCACTCCTCTTAATAGGCTCGCTAAGGGACACCCTAGCTGCTACTCAAATACCAACCCCCTCACAATCCACTCCAGCAAGTGAGAGCCCACTAAACAAGAGTGTCAGCGACATCGGACCTAGTATGGAGGTTATGCATCTGTTCGGGAGCGGTAGAGAACTCAAGGAAGGACGCGAAAAGGGGAGTTTATATGACTGACAGCCTCAGAAGGGAACTTCCCACTGAAACTGTACTGTTAGGGCTCCCGGATTCCAACTGGCGCCACTTCACAGTCGGACACATTAAGTACCTGGTAGGAGGGTCTGTGGAAACCCACTAGCAACGCGGAACAGAATCGGCAACCGCTCCAGGTTTTATCCATAGTGACGACTACGGGATTTAACCAGGTCATCACAGCGGGAGATTTTAAGAACTCTAATCTCAACATCGACCGAAGAGGGAAGGTCCAAGCCTGATGTTTGGCTAGAAGCCACCCAAGACCACTCAAAGCGCTTGGCTGCATGAGAAAGTTGGTGATGACAATCTCTGGGGTTGAACACAAAGGCATCCGGGCTGAAATATCCTCTTGCTAGTGACCACCTACTGGCAGAAGACGGTCAGGTTTAAGCCGTGATCACATGTGGTAGTGTTTGGTCGAGTATTCAGTGAAAGACTGTCACGGGAGGGATCCCACTATTGTCTTTGCTACAGTAAGGCAAACTGCATAGCGATGAGCCAACATCTGCTGGCAGCAGCATGCCCCTAGTGGTGTAGTACATTATCGACTGATTAACGCTGGGAACTAGTGAGGGACATCATTAGGAGGGCTGTCTCTGAAAACGTTCCGGTAGTCACAACAATACCAAGGAAGTAAACCTCGTAGCTGAAACCGGGTAATGAACGCCTCATAAAACCAAAGAGGAAAGCATGGTTAACTGCAGGATCACCAGGAGACAGTCAGATCATAACACATATGCGGCCCTAAGGGATCGATGAAACATCAAACTGAGGGGCGGGCAATGGGTCGTTCAAGACAAACGTTGCCTAGCAGACTGAAGTGAACCTCAAAAGCCTGTTTCTGTTCACGGCAGAGAGGAAATCCACCGACCAGGGAGCTTACTTTTCGAAAGACTCGAAAGCAGAGAAACTCCCCGAACTGAAGACTGTCAAAACATTTAGAACCATCTTTGATACACGTCTAAACACTACGTAATTCAACCAGAACTACCAACTGCCTGGCCAACCTTCAGCAGTTTTTAGTTTGGGAGAGTTGTACGGAATAAGGGCAACTCCCACCACGGTTCTCATAGAACTTTAGAAGCTCCAGACAGGAAAACCACCGGTACACGACATAATTCAGCCGTTCTTGTTGAAACACTGCGTAGGTGGCGAATGTGGTCCGCTCTGAAAACTGTTTCAATACACCTTGGAAAAAAAGCATGCTTCTATGGGGGAAAAAACTTGCCATTCCGTCACCCATCTTTAGAGGAGGAGACGAACAAAACGAGGAATGCTGCCGGCCTACAGCACTCCTACAAGTGCTGTCAAAAGTGATGAAAAGCCTAGTGTCAGGAAGTACTCGGACAGTTGATGCTAAACAAGGCCTCAGAGGCAGTGGGTCCTACTCCTAAAACCTGGCAACTGGTGATAACTTGAAGGTTTGCCGAAACCCCCAAGTACCCGTTCATGTGACTTTCTTGGGTTTTACCAAGGCATCTGACACAGTCCCATACATAATCCTAATTCACGAAATATCAGGGTTAGATATCAACGGTGAAGCTCTTTCCTGACTGCAGGGCCACTTAGACACCAAAATGTTCCTAAAAACGTCGACATGGTTCGCTCCACCTAGAGGACGTCATCACCTGGCGTTTTGCAATGGGTGATTCTACATCTGCTGCTATTCCTTCTTTCAGTGAGTGACCCCCCACCAAGTTGCACCTCACGTTTTTGCCTAACGCTGACGATGTAAAGTTACGGGGATATGTGACACCTAGAGCAGAATCAAGTGCACTGTAAAGTGATCTCAGATTGTTTGCAGAGTGAATGGATAATAGAAGGCCAGCACTTAACCTAGATAAGTACCAGTCCATGTTTCTCTGCACCCCTGACTCTCAGGGAGTGTCTTTCTGTGTCTATGGTACGCAACCTTCTCACACCATGGCGAAAAAACCTGGAACTATCACTGGCTGACAAACCAGGCACATTCTCCAGTCATGCCGCTGCTGCCTTCAGAACCTGTGCAGTACAGCACTTTGTGCCACCACTCCGAAACTCCTCCGGAAACTGTAGAAGACCTATACACTACCTCACTTGGAGGTTCACAACACACCTGAAAAGATATGTGAACTTAGCGTAGGAAGATAGTTCAGGGATGAGCAACAAAATATGTTGTGAGGGACGCTGCAAAAGCCCTATGTTGACGGGTTTAAAGACCCAAGGCTCTACTCCTAGTTTGCTGGCCACTTGACAACAGCTTACCGAATATTCAGTAATCCAAGTCACCCAAACAGTGGGGTCCTACAAAACACCCGCTGTGGCTACCCCCGTAGCAACTCTGGAACAAGTGACCATACAAAGGAGAAAATCCATGTGTGCTAGTACTTTTCCCTTCTGCGAATTTGCGGACACTGTGTGCTGAGATCGCTACAGCTCCGTCAGTTAACCGCTTCAAGAAGAGTTGGTGCTCGGTCCCATCCACCTCGGAGACAGACTAGGCTGCTACAACGAGCTAAGTCCGCACAATCCAACGCAGTCAGCCACATAACGAATCTCTTGTACTACTACTGTCACTGCCAACTTGAAATTATGCCACTCTGTTAGACGTCTCCACCACTTACAACAGCCTTACTAATAACATTGTTATTTCCATTCCCATAACCCGTCCTTTTATCTTACTCCTTCTCTTCCCCCTGAATATGACGTCACTCTATTTCTTAACTTTCCACTTATCACTGTTATATCACAAGAACTAACCTAGGTTTCTTCTTCCCTTTCGTTCTTCTTTCAACTTTTTTTCACACTTCCTTTCCTTTGGCTTCGCTGGACACTTTCTCTTCCTTCCAATCCTATTCTTACGACCAGTCCAGACAACTTTATGGTGACATGGCACTTGGGAAACCCACCTGCATCACAATCTTTGGAAAAATCATGCAATGCTTACACATTTAATCAACACACAGCCGTTTGACGAGCAGACCCGGGCTATACCAGGAGAGTGGGTAGATGATTTGCATCGAAATCTACCGAAGACCTGAAACCTTTCTGAAAAGCTTATGAGCGAGCACAAAGACATCTTTTGGTTTGCACTAGCTCGTACAAAGATAATGGGTGTATTAGATATTGAATGCGTTTGCATTTGAGGTACGCGCGCCAGTCGAAAGGTACGTTGCTTACTCACGATTTGTCCCATTAAGTGTAGTTTCTGACTGTCATTGTAACTAAAACACTCACATTATTTAAGTCGTAACTTGACTACCATCCGTAAAAAATCATTCCGACCTGGATAGTGACAATTTAAATCTTATCTGTTTACAGTTGTTAATGCAATTATATAAGTGACTTCATGTACGATCGTACCTAACTTGTATATGTACATATACGTGTATGTAACTATATCTCGTTTAAGATTGATTGTATAACTCAAATATGATTACTTGTTGCCTTTCACACACGCACAGGAATCTTCAGATTGGTCAGTAAAGTTGTCAAAAGTGTGTCACATTATTCCAGGCATCAAACCGAGTTACAGAATAGCTTAGATTCCACTTTCTCATGGCATAAATTATCCTTCTGTGAGTTTTGGAGTTTCATTGATAGGTGGTCAGCATCCACCTAACTCAAAATCAGACAACTTGGTGCCAGCGTTATCCAGTCAACATTTTCGTTTGAGCCAAATAAGGCTATGTTGGACCACTCACCATAAAATCGTCGGGCCAAGTTTAGGGTTTCTCCTCAACGTTCTCCCCACCCCTGCCTCAGTATTTTGCATTGTATTTGGAACCACGTACTGATTCTTGTCCCTACAACCAGCCCTTATTGCCTCGACTAAGACAGTGGCCCAACGTTTAGCACTATGTGCTCTACATCAGGTCCCACATCGGACTCATGACCCAAGGCTGGGCGTATTATTTACTGAAATTAGCCTAATAGATAGGTTCTGGCCGTACATTGGGCCGCACGTTGCCCTATTCAGCCGGATGAAATTGTTGACTAGGATAACATTGAATTGACCCGTGCCTATCGTATCTCTACCTAAGAAAACCGCTTAATAAGACAATTCAAACCTTACCCGTAAAACTTCAATTTGGGTATTAACGGACCGGTTGAATTTCTCACGAAATACTGTGATTATCAAATTGCGTACGATACTGAACGTGATGTTCTCTGGCTGAATACAGTCTACCTCTAGCTTATTTGAATGTATAGTGATAAAAACACTTATTCAGTCTTTTGAATAAGTTTTACTCACTAGTAAGCACAAGTTGTGACAGAAAGTGGTGGTAAATGACTGCAGACTACCTGTTAACACCTGTCAACATGTTGGGTGAACTACGCTTTAGGAAAAGCCAGTCATGTTGCAGATGCTGTATATCAGAATCGTTCCTTTACGTCTGCTTACCATCTCTGATGCGGTGAAACTAAAAGAATTCGGACAAAGAAGGCATTTGTTATATGCAGAGAGTTGAATTGCTTGCGAAAATCTAAATTTTGAATAAAGTGTTTTAATGGATTGCCTACCTAACAATGAGAAAAGAAATAATTTCATCTTCTGTCATCCCAGCTGTTAGGATAAGAAGTCTCTGAAAACAAGATCGTTCATCAAAAGATCTCATCTATTTCTATAACAATGATTTTGGTAGTACACTGGGTTGTTGGATCAACTCTAATGTTAGCTGGAGTTCTGATGGATTTAAATGAAGTTTGTTTAGTACAGTTGTACCAGCACTGCAGAGACTTTTGTTCTGAAACAATCTGTAACCTGTGTTTTAAATATGATTAAGTAGGTTATATCGTGGAAATGGGTGATAGTCTTGTTAGGGAATCTAACCATAACCGAGGAAGACGACTTAAACAGGACTTGATAACACACATGTTGTTCTTGGTAAATCGCTGATTCCTGGCATATACTGTCGAAATTCGAGGGAAGAACATTTTCAAGGGATGATGGACTGGAAGAATCTATTCTACCAGAAGTAGGAAAATTGGATAGAGTCGGGTTCTACAACACACAGATACTTGAAATTCGTACATACCGTTATCTGAAATGCATTGTCCTTATTGATTTATTATTCACAAAAAGCACCTCATTGATCTGAAAATCGGAGTCCACACAGATAACGCTGAAAATTTGTGGAGTCATCTCATAGAGTTCGTAAAACCTGTAATAAGATTACGCTTGGATATGTGGTCTTATATGGATGAGTGGCAATGCAGTTAGTGGTACGGTTTCAAAGATGAATTTCGATACTTCTATTTATCATGTAAAAGAGGTTTATGAATTTTAAATGCAATGCATTTCACTTTTCTAATTTGTTGCGTTGTCCTTCATATGCCCGATTCGATTGGTCAGTGTATACTCGAACGTGATTGGCCTTCACTAAAAATTTGTTGAACCAATATCTTGAGTGAACCTGAACGTCGACTTACACAGTTATAAGCAGAGCTTTGTTGAATTAACTTTATCAGTGATGAATAAATATAGTTCATCATTCCACTTCCATTCGGGCGTCTTAGAACCGTATAGGTTTCACCATCGGTGATATCCTCGACACCAGCTTAGTTCGCACGCTGATAGCCTCTAGAGACAACGGTATCTTGTATTGGCAGCTTACGGATGAAATTCCCAGACGATTCTTGATGTTCCGAGGTCTGCACCATAGCATATCTTAAGGCAACTACCACAATATTGTTTACTAATCTGGCTTTCGTCCTCTCACTACCTTAGCCTAGGCAGTCAGGTAGTGCTTTGAGGCCGCACACTTGTAGCTCAGTTTAGTAAATAAGCATGTACCATACTGAGTTATGATTAGTTTATTTTAGTTTCCATTCTACTCATAATAGTTAGCTACAGACAGTCATGAGGCGGTAAATTCAGTTATTTAAGTAGTCAATTACTGACTATTAGATTATAAGCCCGAAGCTTTTTGTATTTTTATCTAGACGTTCCGACAATGTCGTTGAAAGTTAGTCAGCATACTATGTAAAGCTGTGTTTACTGAAATAACCTTTTTTTCATAGCAACCGACCATCACTAGTACAATATAATTTATGCATACTATGAGTAATTCCTTCCTCACTACTAGAGAATCAGTTTGTGATCAATGGCCTACTGGTGTTCAAACTTTTTTCTCATATTTAGCTCAATAGATCTATTCTCTTTCATAGAATGTCTATAATTACCTGTTAATTTAATTTCTGATAGACTGCTTCTCGTCCAATTACACACTCACCTTCGGCATTTCTGAGAAATTATCAACACATCTATCGAACAATGCCTTTCGCATCGTTTAAAAATATTCAAAAAAGATTCGCAAGAATTCATAAAGAACGATCTCAAGTACACACACCATTCTTTATTCCATTGAAATTTTAGCCTCAACATCGACGACATCTTGGAATTCTACCGAAGAGACAAGATTTCCGTCAAAGAGCCAGGTTAGACTGAAATATATCAAAACTTAATTTTGCAGAGATAAGGAATTGAAAAGTGCTAAAATCAAAGAGTTGAAAAGTAAGGCTTTAGAGAAGAATACAGATGAATTCTATTTCAATATGTGTAATTCTCGCTTTGATGTAAGTTGTTATGTTATCATAGATTATACCTTACTATCGTATTTAGGCGGAAAAAGGACATATCCCTTTGGATGTGGAAAAGACTTATTCAGATTGTGATATTAAATCATCTTTTTCTAAAAATATCACACGTTTACAATATGAATTACAAAAAGAGATGTCCAAGATACGTCAACTTGAGTCAAAAACTAATTTATTGCAAGGCGAATTAAAAGATAGTCATTCAAGAAAAACTCCTAAACACATTATTTTTGCAGAAAACCATGATGAAATGTTGGAATTATGTCGTTCATTTGCAACCAAATCACAGAAGACAGATGAAATTCTAGAGAATAATACATCTTCCATTGACACACATCTTGACAATAATGATGTTTATATTAAACGGTGTAATGCCTACAAAGAATTATCTGAACGTCTAGAAAGAGCTAAACAATTAAAGTATCTTTTGCGTCAACATGAAGCCAAGAGAAATCTTATGGTAAGTTGGTCTCTGTTATAACTTTCCTTTCTGATATTAAATATTAGATTCATGTTAAGCTGTAGTTTATTAGTCCAAACACTTCACTTTCAACCTGTCAGTTACAGGTTTGAACCTCATTCTATCTATTAAGACCTAGGGGGACAGATTGTATCATTACCTCTGACAGAGTAGTGTACGTAGTTACTGAGTGCAATTCAATTTTTTTTTCCATCTGCATTCTGTTCACTAAAAATTCTAAAAGGTTTAGATTTCATACTTTCTTGTGTGCATTAATTAACAGGTTATATCTGAAATGTTGAAGAAACAGTGTTCTTTCGAAAATTCTAACCTATGTTAGCCGGCTGCAATGTGAATGACTCCCTCATTAATTCCCTCTTTTAAAACCTATTTTCATATTAGTAGAGGAGTTATGACTCAGTGAATTAGACATTCTAATTTCAACCAGTAGGTCATTACTCTAAATCCTACTTTTTCTTTCGAAATTTGCGCAGATAGGTAATATTTCATCTGTCTTACAATGTATATCATAGCCTTGTACACGAACACATCATTAATCTTCATCTTCATGGGACACTTAATTTGTTCTTAAGTTCATATTATACATCTATAATGTGAAATATTTAAGTTTGAATAGCGACCGATAGCTGCTACCTTGACGTGGTGGTCGGGCTTGCATATCACAATGACCCAACGAGCTATGCTGGTGGAACGCTTGTTCCCTCGAGGTCCTACCATACCAGAAAGGTCTGTTGGGTAGTGGTTAGACGAAAAGCAGTTACCGTCATAGTGTAAATTGCTATACTATGATGGGGGTCTGAGGGCGAAGTCGTACTGCTGCTAGCTGGATGGGGTGTGACAGCAGTAAGGTGTTTCCCTTGGATGACCAGCAGTGCCAAGCTGATGCTGCCTTCTCAGTGGAAGGGGGGGTTAGAAAAGGTCGGCCCCAAAAATAACACACTCCACCACGCCCCACGGTCTGCCGGGCCGGCGGTGTTGGTTCACTTGTCGTTTCCTTTCGCTCATCCGGCCCCAAAAATACAAAAATTCAAAATAATCATACTCAAAAGGCTGGGTGTGACAGGCCTCAAGCAGATGTCCGATGGGCTCTGCGGTCACACAAATCTCTTTCAGGTACCTTAAGAAGAAATAGCCTTCCACGGTGTGGGCAGCCGGGAAGTGTCAACCGCCCTCACAACTCTGTCAGCACCCAAGTTTCTTCTGACTGCTATCCTCCTCCTCCATCATTACCTTCTAATCTTCCTTCACGTCTCTTAATTAATGATGCTGCATCATCTTCAATTTCTCCTACCTCTGCAGCCTTCGACAACGATCTGAGTCCACAGAACAGTGTCCCTGGTCTCCTTAAACCACGCTCCAAATTACATATTGGAGCCTTCAATGTCCGCACCCTCCGTCAAATTGGCCAACAGGCTTCGTTGGCAAAGACTCTAGCAACTCGAGGCATGGATGTGTGCTGTGTTTGTGAGACACGCATACAGGACCCAAGTGTGGTTATTCACCTGACCTCTCCTGACCAATCTGGTGAATCTGCAAAATTCACCCTTCGAGTTTCTGGAGATTCGATAGCTAGCTCTCGTGGTCTTGCAGGTGTAGGTATAGCATTAAGCACCAGGGCAGAAAACTCACTACTAGACTGGATCCCAGTTGATAGTCGCCTCTGCGCTATGAGGCTGAACGGCACAGTGAGAACTAAAAGGAATAGTGAGACTCGCCGTTGTCTCTTTGTAATCTCTGCTTACGCACCCACTGACTGTAGTTCGGATGAAGTGAAGGACGAGTTCTACCATAAACTGTCTAACCTCCTCTCGAAAGCCAAACGTTCGGACGTAGTGGTTGTTGCAGGTGACCTCAACGCACAGGTGGGTAGACTGAGTGAGGCAGAAAGGCACTTAGGTGGCACTTTCGGAATCCCAGCTGAACGTACAGATAACGGTGATCGCCTATTACAACTATGCTCAGATAACCGCCTATTTTTAGCCAGCACAAATTTCAGACATAAAGAAAGGCACTGTCTGACCTGGCGTCCACCGAGCTCGACTCAGCGATGGACACAGATAGACCACATTGCTATTAGTCATCGCTGGAGAGGATCGGTGGAAGACTGCCGCTCCTTCTGGAGTACGTGTTTGGACAGCGATCATGCGTTGGTCCGAGCACGTATATGCCTGCGTCTCAATGGACGTAGAAAAAATTTGGCAACAAAACCACTACGAGTTCTGCTGGACAACGAAAACACCAAAGCCGTGTTCAGTGAGAAGTTGGCTAGGCAGTTATCGGAACAAAAGACTGTCACTCATCCAGAAGAAGCTTGGTGCCATCTTCAGTCTACTGTAAAAGCAGCACTGGAGACTGTAGCCGACTCCAAGATAATGGCTAAAAAGAGCCAGTGGATATCAGCAGCTTCTTCCAAACTAATGGATGCACGTGAATGCATCCCTGCAGGCTCTGAGTACAATGAAGAGCGAGCGCAACTTAAAAATAAACTGACGAAAAGTCTGCGCAACGATCGTGAACAGTGGTGGGCAGCAAAGGCTAAAGAGATGGAAAAGGCAGCGGCGATCGGTAACAGTAGACAGTTATTTAGACTTATTAAGGAGACTGGGGGGAAATGGTCAACAACAGTTAGTGAGGTTATAGCGGAGAAGGACGGATCGGCGATTCACTCGCAGGGAAGGCGACTGGGACGATGGGCAGAACACTTTGAGGAACAGTTTAACTGGCCTCCAGCCACCATTGCGCTGCCCGCTATCCAGTCGGACCCTGAATGGGACATAGAGACAGGTCCCCCAACACTAGAAGAAGTTGAGAAAGCGGTAGGTAGCCTGAAACGGGGAAGGGCAGCAGGACCAGACGGACTACCTGCTGAGGTATACAAGAATGGTGGTAGAGTTCTCTTAGTCAGGCTAACGGAAGTGTTAGCCAGTATATGGGAATCAAATACGATCCCCTCCGACTGGTCTAAGTCACTGATCATCCCAGTCTTCAAGAAAGGCGAGAAGTCCTCTTGTGATAACCACAGAGGAATCAGCCTGACAAACATAGTGTCTAAGATCCTAAGTTCTATAATTCTCCGACGCCTGAGTGGAGCTCGGGAACAGCAAGCCCGAGAAAACCAGGCAGGCTTTAGACCTGGCCGTGGATGTATCGACCAAATATTCACACTGCGCCAGGTCCTGGAACATAGGCATGCTTACAGACGCCCGACAATAGCTGTATTTCTCGACCTGAAGGCGGCATTTGACTCCGTTGATCGAGAAGTCTTATGGCAGTGTCTGTCACTGAAAGGCGTGCCTAGTAAGTACATCACCTTATTGAAAGCTCTCTACTCGAACACTTGTGGGCATGTTAGAGCCTATGGTGAGTTGTCCAGGGAGCTATACTCATCAAGTGGTGTCCGTCAAGGATGCCCACTATCCCCATTCTTATTTAATTTTATCATAGATATTCTTATGGAGGTTTCCCTCTCGTCACCTAATTACAAAGACGTTGACCGGATCACAGGTGAATTTTCCTTAGATCTAGAATATGCAGATGACATAGTCCTGTTAGGTGAAGACGCTGACAAGATGCAGAGTCTTCTGAACACTTTGAGTGGGAATTTGAGAATGTTTGGGATGCGATTTTCACCACCCAAATGCAAATTTTTGCTCCAGGACTGGTCTTCAGCGGTACCGCGGTTAACAATAGAGAGTGAAGTGGTTGAGTGTGTTGACCACTTCACTTACCTGGGAAGTAGGATCAACTCCGGTGGGTTAGTTGCCGATGAGATTTCTGCACGGATACAAAAGGCTCGATTGGCTTTTGCCAATTTGCGCCACCTATGGCGCCGCCGTGATATTCGTTTGTCTATTAAGGGTCGCGTGTACTGCACAGCAGTCCGCTCTGTTCTACTGTATGGCTGTGAAACATGGCCATTGAAAGTGGAAGACATGAGAAGGTTACAGGTATTTGACCACCGTTGCCTTCGTAGTATAGGACGTATTCCGTGGTGTCACCATGTGAGTAATGCAGAAGTTAGGTGTAGAGTTTTAGGGAGAAGAGGTAAGTCAGTCGACGAGGTTGTGAACCTTCATCGACTGAGATGGTTGGGACACGTACTACGTATGCCTAGTCACCGATTGCCTCGTCACACAATGTTGGCTGAGGTGGGTTCAGGCTGGAAAAAGGCCCGAGGTGGCCAGACTAAAACATGGCACCAATGTATGAAGTCTCTGACTGTTGGTTTAAGCCATGTAGGACGATGCAGACTAGGTGGTTGGGGTCCACGGGACAAGAGGAACCAGTGGTTGGAGACCCTAGGTGATATGGCTCAGAACCGAAGTCAGTGGCGCAGATGTATACACACATTATCCTCATCTTAACAACGCTATACCGAATCTCACTATTTTGTCACTCCTCTTTCCTTTCTTCTCATACTTTATATTTCTTTTGACTGCATTCACTTATCTTCATCCTTCACCTCACTACCTTTTTACTTGATGTGCTGATATGAGGTGTGGCAACTCGGACCGTTACGCAGTAATGCCTGGTCCTATGTTGATAATGATGATGATGATGAAATTAGAGTACTGATTTATCAACTCCGTAGCTGGGCATTTTTAATTCGACGCAACTTATACAAAATTTGTCATTCAGATAAATTACTTTGGTAAAGTTACTTTTCCCCACTTGACTCAAGCAAACAATCAAAAATAACATTGTTCGAAAACATATATGCTAGTCGTCGGAGTCGATTAAAGGTTCATAACTTCATCAACTGACCTAAGTTTGTTGCCTAAGACTATAAAGATGTTAGCCAGTAGACGCACAGTAGCATGAACTTTTTTGACCTGTTATTTTTTGCCCAAACCTAGTAATTATTCTTCCTGTACCTACCTAATTAAGCATGTAATATAATTTCCCTTCAAAAACTTTATCCTTTGATAGGTTAATTCAACCAAAAGAGGGTACAAAACAGTATTCAAAGGAAGTAAAAC